GAAGATTAGGAGTTTGAGGCTGCCTTAACTATATAGTGAGTTTGAGGCCAGTATGGGCACCAGGAGACCCTTTCTGGGGAAAAAACCAAAAACATTATTCCTTGTTGAGCCTTGAAGCCTAGGCTTGTAATCCCATTTACTCAGGAGACTGAGGTAGGAGGATTATGAATTCAAGGCAAAACCTATGGGCCTACAAAGTATGTTCAAGGTTGATTTGGTCAATTTAGTGAGATCCTATTTCAAAATTAAAAAAAAAAAAAAAAGTAGGGACAGAATTTAGCAATAAGTGCTTGCCTAGCAAAAGTGTGAGGTCCTGGGTTCAATTCCTAGAAATTAAAAAAAAAAATTAAAAGAGTATTATCCCTTGCCAAGATCTCATTAAGTTAACAAGTAGAGATGCCCAAGCATAAAAGAAATCCCCTTGCCAGGGAAGAAAATGACAAATGACTTCACAGTGAAATGTAGTTCGTTCTCTCTCTCTCTCTCTCTCTCTCTCTCTCTCTCTCTCTCTCTCTTCCCCAACCCCCTCTCCCTCTCTCATACACACACAAATAAAGAGAGTTTGGGAGTGGTACAAAGAAGGAATAGAGAGTTTGGGGAGCAAGTAAGATAAGACAGCCAGGGTGCTGGCCCACCAGCCTGGTGTGATGACCCAGGTTCCCAGAGCATATGTAAACAGTTGTTTGTTGGGGCTGGAGGGAGAGCTTTAGTTAAGAGCACTTGTTATGCTTACAGAGGACCTGGGGTTCTATTCCCAGTACCCACGTGATGGCTCACGACCATCTGTAACTCCAGTTCCTGGGGATCTGTAGCATCCTCAGTCTCCTCTGGTCCCCACGGGCACCTAGTACACATCCATACAGGCAAAACACTCAGAAACATAAAATGTAAATAAATCTTAAAAAAAAAATTTTTTTTTTTGGAAAGAAGTTGGTTATAGTGGGGTCCATCTGCAATCCCAGCCTTCGCACATCAAGACAGAGGCTGAGACAGGAGAATCAACTAGCAGCTTGCTGGCCAGACCACCCAATGTACAGAGCTGAGAGACCCTGCCTCAAAACAAAGTCAAAGGAAAACTCTGCCCTCTGGCAGCCACACATGATCTGTGGTACACATCCACCTACACACAAAAATAGTAAAATTAAAAATTTTAAAAGCGAGAACATTTACAAAGGCAGAAACCATGGCTAGAAGAAATCCTTTTTTAAAAAGTAGACATTCCAATAATGTAATTAGCATAACTGTTGTGTGGGGGAGGGGAGGCTAGGACAGTGTGAGAAGGCAAATGTCCTCCTCCGAAATAGAGCAAGAGTCAACAGGCACCGTCTAAAATTAAAACGAGTAATTACAGATGACTCACAAGCACTTAACGTTGCTGGGTAGAAAATTATCTCTTGCAAGGAACATACTTCTTTAACACTTAACAATTCCCTTTAGTCTACTGCAGCTTCTTTTTCTTCTGTTACAGTTAAGGAATTTCAAACCTTTTCCATAGGAGTATTTACACCTATTTTTTCAATGTCCATCTCTGTCTGATGATGCCTGGAAGAATCTTTGGAATACTGGCGATGTATATGTTGTTTGCAGCTTGCTTTTGGAATTAAGGTCTCTCTCTACTCAGCCCTTGGCTATCCTGGAACTCACTCTGTAGATCAGGCTGGTATTCAGCTCACAGAGATTTGACTGCCTCTTCCTCCCAATGCTGGACTGAAAGTATGCACCACCACGGCCCAGCAAAAGGATAGATATTCTGAGGCCTGGAGTCGACTTGGTTTTGTTTTGTTCTGCTTCATCTATTGATCAACCCCAGTTTGTGATGTGGGAATACAGCAAGGTTAGGAAAGACAGGCACTCAGCACCACCAACTTCTTCCTCCCTCCCTCCCTCCCGCACTCCTTCCCTCTCTCCCTTCCTTTGAACCGGAGTCTAAGCTGCCCTTGGTTTTATATGTAGCTGAGGCTGACCTTGAACTCTTGATATTCCTGCCTCTGCCTCATGAGTGCTGAGATTCTCAGAGCCACACCGGTTTATGCAATTCTGGGGATCAAACCTAGAGCCCTGGGCATACGAGACAAGCACTCTGCCAATTGAGTTACATCCCAGCCCAAACTTTCCTAAGTATAGCACAAAACCTAAAACCCATTGGGCAGTGGTGGCACACTTAGGAGGCAGAGGTGGGTGAGTGTCTATAAGTTTGAGGCCAGCCTAGTATCTACAAAGTAAGTTCCAGGACAGCCAGCTTTATAAAGAGAAACCTTGTCTCGAAAAACTAAAACCAAACCAAACCAAAACGAAACACCTAGACCCCTACAGAAATAACCACTGACACATCTGATCACAAGAGTTCTTCCATAAACATTTCACTATAATATCTTCCGTATTTACGGTCAAACTAACAATGATACAGTCACCTGCGTAAGTCTCCTGTATCCAAAATTAGAAAGCTGGTGATTATTCTTTTCTCCATCTCCTTTGTGGAGCTGAGGGCCTCATATATGCTAAGCAAACGTTCTACCTACCAATAGGCTACAACTCCAGTCCAGTCCGCAGCCTTAAAGCACGGTATTCAGGTAAATACTGCCTCTGGAGTCCAGAGAGCTTCAAGGAGAACTATGGTGGTGCAGATCTATGATCGATCCCAGCTACTCAAGTGGCCAGAGGCAGGAGGAGCTTCAGTTCAGGTCCCGCTTGGGCTACAGAGTAAGTTCAAAGACAACCTAAGCACCATAGTAGGACCCTGTAGTAGGACACAGGGTGAAGTGGTACATGCCTGTAATTCCAAGCATTTGGGAGGCAGAGGTAGGATCGTCAGTTCAGGCCAGCCTTAGTCATATCATACACAGAGGCTAGCTTGGGCTACAAGAGATCCTGTCTTACCTCCACTTCCCCCAAGCAGGCTCTGCCTCCCCAACTCACCCCCTAAAAGGCCAAGAATGTAGTTTCTAGGACTGAACCCCAGAACCACAAAAAAGGAAAGGAAATGGGTGGTGGTTACTGAGGGAGTGCACACCTGTAATCTCAGCCCTCCATAAGCTGAAGCCGGAGGATTACTTCAAATTCAAGGGCAGCCTAGGCAGCAAAGGGAAATTCTGCTTGAAACTAACAAAAAGAGATTAACTCTTCCACCTCAGTCCCGACCCATTCATTGACTGAGCATGGTCCAGAGGCCACACCCACCCAAGACAAGTTACCCTTGGCCTTCCTTCACTCAAGGCTCAAGTACAGCCTTGTTCTAGGCTCCAGGCATTCAAGGGTTGTATTATTCCATCCCCCACCCGCCTACTTTATAGCTTTCCTAGTTCCTGTTCCAGAACCTGAGCCTTAACCTATTATGGCATGCCAAAGGCCACCCAGGGTGGGCGACTTCCAGACAGTACAGGAGGGGCAGGGGCCCACTCATTCACCCCAAGAAATCTCAGGCCGATAAAACAGAAAGAATGGAACACCATTAAAAAGGAAAAAAGGTCAATGGTAACCCAGAAGCAGGAAACAGAGTCAGAACCAGAAGCCTGGAGCTCACCACACAAATATCTGCTGATCTTCCTCCACTGTGTGTGTCAGGAGATTATAAGGCCAGAGACTGGTGATAAGGGCCTCGGGCAGCCAGCATAAACTGACCAGGAAGGCTTATTTAGCCCCAAGCTGGGCCTGGAATGAGTTTAATGACAGCCAAGCCCAGGGTTGGAACCAGGCAAGAGGGGAGAAAAGCATACTTCAGGGCTCAGAGCTCACCAGAAATCTGGGCTAGAACTTCCAAAATGTCTTTAGGCTGGGAAAGACAGGGAAGTGGTCCAGGCAGGTAGCCAGCTCTTCCCACCAAAGCCTGGCTAGAGCTGCCCCTGTTCTCATCTCTCAACATTTCCCAGATTGCAAAAGTGTGGCCTGTTGTCCCTCTAAGTTCACTACTGTTTGCCAGACCAGTGTCCCACGTGTGGCCTGAGCAATGTGGCACTTACTCACACCCGTCACTTACATCATTGCTTAAGCAAATGTTTCCAGCTTGTCATTTACAGTCAAATAAAAAAGCCAGGACTGGTAACTCCACCATAAACGCTTTTTCTCACAGGCATCTCCATTGCATTCTCTTCCAGGAGCCATGTATCACTCTGAGATCCCCAACTATTTTGAATACTAAATTTCTTGGTCTTCCAACAAGCCTGCTTAACTAGATTTTTGTTCCTAAAAGGCAAAGAGGGTCCTCTAGTATCCCTTTGTTAGCATAAGCCTGGCACAGTGCTAGACCCATAAGGGGCCACGTGCAGAGAATTTCTGATCAAAGATGAGAAGTTTAACTTCCTATCTTACTAAAGTCTACACGGCCCCACAAACCAACAACTCCTACAGACATTCTACGTCAGCAGCTGTCCCTACAGGCCATGTGAAGCCACCTGATAGGATCATCTATTGTTCCTTCCTCTAAACTATTCTCTTATTGAAAATTTACACACAGACACGCAGACAGACAGACAGACAGACACACACACACACACACCAGCACAAATGTACAAACACATTTTTGTCTTGTCTTTTATTTCCAGAATGGATTTTGCTATGTAATTCTTGAAGGCCTAGTACTGAACATGTAACCCAGGCTAGACTTGAACTCATGACAATCCTCCTACTAAGGACTAGGATTGTGGGTAAACATGATCACTCTGGGTACTTCACTTATGTTAAGTAAACTAAAAGCTAGCTTATACCCACCAAAACTAAAACCCAGTTTCTGCCCCGCACCTACCAGCTCCCAGAAGAGAAGAAAAATTAATCTATGTGCAACCTCAGATATACAGCAAGTCTGGGCTACATGAGATTATCTCAGAAAATAAGAAAGAAATAAAAAGCAATGGCAACCAAAATCTACCTTAGTCCAAGAGTTCATTCATTCAAGAAATGTCACTTCTTGCCAGTTACCAAGAATAATGTCAATCCCTGAGATTCAAATGACACCAGGTACCTTCCCTCACACAGCTGGGAGAGTAAGCCCCACACAAGGAACTTACCAGTACGGTGAGGCCAAGGCTAATGTGTAGCTCAAGGTTTACCTGGTCAAACTGAGCCAACAGAGACTCCACGCAGGATATTAAGTAGCCTGGAGACACACTGGAAGAGATTAAGAAATAGGCTGAGCTCCCAGGGCCTACTCCAAAGATCCTGTTGCTGAACTATGCTGCAAGGGGTTGCTACTCGGGCATCTGGTAGCTGTGGCATAAAGATATCCCTGCCAGGGAACCATTCCAGCAAAACAGATGTCCTTGGGTCTATCCTGAAGAAGAGAAGGCCCAGCCTCTTCCCACAAAACAGTTACACATGCAGTGAGCCATCTAACTGGCACAGTCTGAGTCACACTGGGAATTTGAGCAGCACAGGATGTCAGAGAACAGTCTGCTTTCTTGTGCAATGCCTAAGCCCTAACCTAGAGCCACATGCATGTTAGCACTCTGGTGTGAGGACCACAGAGAGACACTCTTGTACCATGTACTCATGGTACTTGTGTGGTACCACAGAGGGAACCAGAGAGTCATTGAGCTATGGGAAAAGTGAATCAAAGGGCCTGGGAAGAGAGATGCTCCCTGGGAGTTAGCACTGAGATGCTGCTGAGAAGTGGAGGAGGGGGAGGCTACCAGTAAGCGAGCCTGCGTGTGCCCGTGTGTGTGCGTGCGTATGTGTGTGTGTTTGTGTGTACGTGCACGAATGTGTATGTGTGTGTACCCTGTGCACACAGTGCTTGCAGAGGCTAAAAGATGATCTGAAAGTGGGACTGAAGTTACAGATGGGCTGCGAGCCACCATGTAGGTGCTGTGAATGGAACCCAGGCCCTCTGAAGGAGCAGTTGGTGCTGTTAACACAGAGGCATCTCTCCAGCCCCAGGAATGTGTATTTTTGTTTCCCTGAAGTGCATTATACACAGGACAGGACACTAGGAGTAAGCTACCAATTACATTAACAGACATCAGGGAACAAGTTAACGTGTGTTCCCCACCACAGAAAAATGTTGGAAAACAGAACAGAACAATCAACCTGGTGTCAGAGGTGGCCAAGAAAGTTGCTCCCCTAAAGGAAAGTTCAGATCCCCAGAACATGTAAAACTACGCTGGCAGGGGGAAGGGAGATGAAACACTCTATAAAGCTGTAGGCATACTTAGGAACTGGTGGAGATGGAACATCTACTTGAAGTCCACGGTGGCTAAGATACACAAGAGGTCATACGGGGATAGGACTATAGGCTATAAATACAGGCCTTGAAGGAGTCAAGAAAACATATGGTTCAGCTGTGTTGCAAATCAAACCCAGCCTCCAGCGTGCTAGGCAAGTGTGCCCATTTCTGTGTGTTTGTTTGTTTGTTTGTTTGTTTGCAGTCTCATCCTATAGTCCAGCTTGGTTTAGAACTCACTATGTAGCCTAGGCCGACCTAAAACTTCTGACAATCCTCCTGCCCCAACTACCAAAGTGCTGGGAGTACAGGCATGAGCTACTAGGCCTGGCATTTACATTCTTGGCTGCTTCATGGAGAATGGGCAGGGAAGCGGGAGATTAAACAGCAGGCTTTCTCTCACAAGCGTCCAAGAGAAAACAAAGAACCAGTTTGGTCTTAAGGGCAAGAGTTCTGTGTTGGACCCAGACTTAACAGCAACCCAGGCTGGATTATGCAGACCTCAGAATTCTGCAAGCAGAATTAGAAAAGAGACCACCCTCAAAATTCAGGCTAAGACACGTCCGCTCAATGTTCCTGCTGTGGCAGGCAGGTAATTTAAGAAATGTGCACTTTGGCTCCGCAGTAAAACACACCCCAAGGGCCTTTGGCTGCACTGCTTGGTGAATGGCCAAGACTACCCGCCCCAAGCCCCTCCAATACTCTTGCAAGCCAGTTCAAGCCCAAGACCTCCTCAAAAGCTCTCGCTGTCCAGTCTCCATGAGACACCTTGGCATAGGTCATTGTTTGAAGGAAGTCATTCTTTAAGTGTACAGTCACCTGAGAACCTGCCAGAAGGGCGAATTCTCTCCACCTCCAAGCAAACTGGAAACCAGGTAGGCCCAGGAGTGTGGGTTTTACTTGGGGGCTCTGGCAAGGTTCCTGTACATTAAAGCCTGAGGCTTACCACTCTACTTCCATGAAAACCAAGGGGGCAATAAAAGGGACCACATGGCCCTTTCTACTAGTATCTAACCTTCTCGACTGGTCCCTGCTTGCTGCACAGCACCTAGATACCCTATACTCATAAAAAAGAGGGTTACTAAAAAAAAAAAAAAGTAAAGAAAAATACCTATTTCCAAGTTGGGGAAGTAGGCAGCAGAGAGAGACACAGACAGACAGAAACGACACTCACTAACCCTAAATCTTCTCCTCTTACACAGCATGCTCTTTGACCAAGGCTATATAGTCAGTCAGTGAGTCACTGATTACTAAGATGCAAGGCTTTCCCACATCCTCTGCTTCCTCACTGTGTAACCACAAACCAGAGCATCTTACTTCCTAAGATCCCAACCCAGCCTACTCACCCTCAGCCTTAGCCACTAGGTCTCTCTCTCCTCACTTCCCTGCCTGGCTTCCTCTATAAGCCTGTGCACTCTGTCTGGTAGCCAGGCTTCTCTCTCACTTTAGGATCTAGACTGCCTTCAACCTTCGTCTTCATTGTTCTTTCCTGGGCTCTGGTCTCCATGTAGAATATCACGCACGCACGCACGCACGCACACCACCACCACCATCATCATCACCCACTTCACCCCTGCACCTTCTTATCCCCGCCACTCTGGACTCAAGTGTGATGGAGCTAGTGGAGAGCTAGCATGTACATGCTTACCCTACCTCTAAGGTGAGGAGAATCCAGGAAAGGAATGAGGAGGTCCTGCAGAAATATGTTTCTATTCCATTCCGGTTCTCCCCAGCACTGTCTCACCCCACCCGGACCCATTCTTTCCTTCTTCTTTGTCTCCACGTCATTTAGAATGACAGGCTTTTATTTCAGGTGAACTGCCTTGATTGTTTCTTAACCGTCCAGGAGGTTGTCTTCCAGGAGGTTGGCAGGCCTTCTGACATGACCCCTCCCTCCCTAAATGCCTAGGGACTTCATTGTGGAAGCCTTGGATAAGGCTATGAGGGGCAAGAGAATCAGCACAGGGGCATCTTCTAGAAGCTCCCTGTGTTGAAAGGGGCAAGGGAGTTGATGAAGGCTCCGGCATCTCACGCATCTCAGTCCCAGCCAGAACTCTGCGGAGAAGGTGAGAAGTTCAAGCACAGATGGATTCCACAGCGAAGCCAAGCAGGCTTCTGGTTCATCCCACACAGAGCCACAGTTCAGCACATGCCATACAGAGCAAGGCCACATGAGCAAACCTGATGACATACTGCCATCTCCAGGCAATATGTGCAAAAATGAGTTCCCTAGCAGGGTGGCTATTTTTGCATGTATTTCCACCCCCACCCCCAGCTCTCACAAACTGCTTGCCTATTTAAAAAGGATCAACATTCTAGTCAGACTTAAAGGCTTACTCTAACCCTAGCTCCAATTTGGATAATTTTCAGACACAGAGATGAAAGAAATAGACATTAAGATAGTTCTAGGTGCTGGAGAGATAGCCTAGGTGATAAATGTTTGCCTTGAAAGTGTAAAAACCTGAATTCAATAACCGGAACAAGAGTACAACGGAGTTGGATGTGGGGGGATGTGCTACAGAGGAGACAGGTGGGTCCCTCAGGCTCACTGGCCACCAAGCCTACACTACTTGAGCGATCCCTTCTGAAAAAGAAAATGTGTAAGTTTGGAGAAATGACCTAATGGCTAGGAGTGTATACTTCTTTGCAGAGGAACAGAATTCTGTCCCCAGGACCAACACTGACAGGATGAAAAGGTCTCATCACTCCAGCTCCAGGGTGTCTAGCACCCTCTTTTGGTCTCCACAGGACCTACACTCACACTTACACACACACATGTACACATAATTAAAAATAAATAAAATCATTTCAAAAAAAAAGTGGGCACCACCTGGGTAACACCCAGGCCGTCCTCTGGCCTCCCTACATAGGTGTGTGTAAATGCACACACCAGCGCACATATACAACACACAACTGGTCATAGAAGCACCATTCATCCAGAAGCCTGTGGACAGCCCAAAGGCCCGAGCCAGAAGGAAGGTAGAAAACCTTCAGGAGATTCTCAGGAAGGAGCTGGATGTGACAAGAGTGTACACAGGGAGCATTTAACAACATGTGACGCTTATTTGTAAAAGACCCCTTCCAGGAAGACCTGGAGAGCTTGTCTGAAACTGGAACACTGCACAGGACACTTCTGGGGCCAAGAACCCAGCTAAATTTTCCTAGTAACGCTAAAGGAGGAGGAGGAATTTGAGAAGATATGTTGACATGTTAGTTACTGAAAAATCTCTGACCTGGCCTTCCATTCCACAACTACCCAGCTATCCCCCCCCCAATTTATTTCTTCTTATGTACATTTGGTATTTGGCCTACATGTCTGTCTGTCTGTCTGTCTGTCTGTCTGTCTGTCTGTCTGTCTGTCTGAGGAAGTTGGATCCCCTGGAACTGGAGTTACAGACAGTTGTGAACTGTTATGTGGTTGCTGGGAATTGAACCGGGTTCCTCTGGAAGAGCAGCCAGTGCTCTTAACTGCTGAGCCTTCTCTCCAGCTTGAGTCCTTTCTTTAGTGTAATAGTATAACAGATACATACAAACATTAATTCTACATTTGATCAAAGTGCTACTTTACCAGACTGATATAGTGTTCTTAGCTTTAACCAAGTTAACATTCTTTCTCCAAAACTAAAATGAAATTCTAACCCTTTGCTGGGCTCTAACAGCCACTGCATCGGCTGGGTATAATGGCATACACTTTTATGCACTTGGGAGGCAGAAGTGGACCTCTATGAGTTCAAGGTCAGCCTGGTCCATATAGTGAGTTCCAGGACAGCCAGGGCTACATAGTAAGACTCTGCATCAAAACCATAAAAACGAAATAGAAGAGGGGGATGAGAGATAGGTCCCTTCCTTCCCCACATTCCTGAGAGGAAAGTGCCCAGAGTGGCAGCTGACAATCTCATCAAAAAGAACATTTCACCTACTTTTCCCCTGTGGTAGGGGAAGTAAAGGG